TCTCCGGAAGTGCCTAGTATGGGAGCTCGGTAGGGGTCAAAATTTAGGACACGAATCATGACCGATTTTTTGAGACGTTTCGCATCATATCTTTTAAAGTATAAATATTTTGTTAAAACATATGGAACATCATTTGTGCAGAACATCGAGATCTTTCATACGATACCAAGAAAAAAGCGCTGACTCATCACATTAAGAGCAAAAAGGGGCCAGAAGTCTTTAATCGATAACTCTTTAACAATCAATATTTTGGTATATACATATGTATTACTGAACAAAAAATGTTAAGCTTAACAATCTACAACTATATATTATGATATTCATGTCGCATGGTACATAATTAGGGGCCACAAGGGGCCAGAATGCTAAATCTTTGATGCTTTATATCTCGAAAGGGAGAAATATTTTGATAAGCAATATTGAACAAAAGATGTTCAAAATAATGTTCTGAACGATATGCAACCTTTCATTTTTTGCTAAACGTCCCTTAAAGGAGTTGAAGGGTTGGCCCCTAAATATTTCTTTTGCTAATAGCTCAAAAACGAAAAAGAATTTCTGAATAGTTATTGAACAAAAAATGTTCAAAATTTTAAGATCTTTAGGATGAGATCCCGAAAAAGGGGCTGGGCACTCGAATTAGGGGCCAAGAGGGGCAAAAAATCTTTTTTTTCGATAACTCTTTATCAGTTAATATTTTGTTATACATTTCTGAAGCAAAGATGTTTATCTCAACCATCTACAACTATATATTATGATTTTTATGTTGTATGGTACATAATTAGGGGCCACAAGGGGCCAGAATGCAAAATCTTTGACGCTTTATATCTCGAAAGGGAGAAATAGTTTGATAAGCAATATTGAACAAAAGCTAAACGTCCCCATAAAGGAGTTGAAGGGCTGGCCCCTAAATATTTCTTTTGCTAAAAGCTCAAAAACTAAAAAGAATTTCTGAATAGTTGTTGAGCAAAAATTGTTTAAAATCTTAAGATCTTTAAGATGATATGAATAAAAAGGGCCAATTCCTTAAATTGGGGGCCGTTAGGGGCCAAAAGGCGAATTTTTAAGCTTTTAATGTTCAATGTCTTTTTAAAGATTGTGGTAAATCATTATTTTAGAATGAAAATCGCAATCAAAATCTTTTCTTATCTAATCAAGAATTGGACGGAAGACCCACTCGTTGCTCGCAACGAGATCGTATCTAGTTTTTAATTCTTATTTTATCCTTGGTTACAAATATACACACATTTAGCTAGACATCATTGATTAAAGATTGTAAGTATGCAGTCAGCTCCTCGACACAAATCTCAGTATTATTTCAGCTCAAGAAGAATCAAAGATGTGATGAATATTAATGTGATAAACATAAAAAAAATAATGAAAATGAGATGACAATGCAACTTCAACATAAGAAGACAGAATTCTTAATTTCTGTAATAATCAAGATGCTTTTGAATGCTAATAGAAGGAATAGGCATCGTTATGTTGCCATGTTTCAGCAGTATGTATGCCATGTATGGTTGTTTCATAACTTTCTTGACTCGATAGCAATTTAACAATGAAAGTTTAGTACATGGGGGAATTTCGATGGTTGAATATTGCAATTTGTTAGTTACTTTAAAATTTGTCCAATTAGTAATCAGGATTCGAGAAGTCCAGTCTTTAATGTACATTTTTGAAATTGAGGATGGTGGATTTATCTCAAGCAAGGATGGACACAACGACAAGGAAAGCAGAGGAATGATGGCACAGGTGGTGCCTGAGGTTAATTCAAGGATGATCGTTGTTCCGCAACAATTACATGTACGCCTTCTCATATCGAGTAAAACTAAAGCACATGTGATGAGGATAAGAATAGAGAGAGCAAATATAACATGATCCAATTTCAAAGTGTCTTTAATTACATCCAAAATATGTTAAAGGTTTTCAGTAGTAGATTTGTGGAATATGTATTCATTGTCTAAACATTTAGTATATGGTGTTTGTTTCAAAATAGAAATTACCAGCAACAATTTTCATTGTCTTATAAATAATAATGCACAAATCAGAGATACTATTATTGCATTGACAACGGAAATGTAAGTTAAAACATCCTTGGTAGTAGGCCAGTTAGAATTGAAATCAATATCACCATTTAACAAGGTTCTGAAAGTGACTGAAATTTTTTTTTCATTACATTTGGTAGCATCAGCCATTTTTTTTTCATGTTAAAATGAAGTCGTGAATCTGCCACTAACTGTTTCTGAAAATTATGTTTATAACTTTCAAATCCAGGAATCTTTACAGTTAAAGATGAAGCAAGAAGGATATGAAAATAACGAACAGTATTCAATCTCAACGTCCATTAAACAAATATACAAAATAAGAGCAGAGCAAACACGGACCTCCGAAACATCAGAGGTGGGATCAGGTGCCATGGAGGAGTGAGCATCCCCTGCCGACCGGTCACACTCACCGTGTGCTCGTTGTCATAATCAGGAAATAACGGAAAAAATCCGTGGTCAATTCAGTGTATAAATAATGGACTAACAATTGGTATGAAAAACGTCAGTCAGCATTTTATTCAATGATAAATTGTATTTGCTGACAAGGTCATTGTATCGACCATAGAATTTACGAAATGATGACTTTAAACGAGACTGTTGATATTCTTGTTTCATCAACTTGCTTGTCAATAATTGACCTCGTTTAAGAAATTGTTCATACGTAGAGCATGCTCTTGCGTATCGAATCAACTGAGATATAAATACTCCGTATGCAGGTGATGAAGGTATATTGCTGCATAAGTAAGGGAAGTTGACGATGGAAAAGTTAAAGTCATCACGTTTATCATATAGTTTGGTTGTTAGATTACCATTAGTGTCTTTTTCAAGTAAAATATCCAAGTATGAAGCAGAAGTATCGGACTCTGTGGTATCTTTTATGTCAAGTTCACCAGGATATATCGTGTCGACGTAGGAATGGAAATTATCATTATTAATTGACAATACGTCGTCGATATATCTAAATGTCAAGTTGAAGGCCACAGCAAGTGTTTTCTTCTTTCACGCAAAAGATTTTGCATAAATTCTGCTTCATATGAATACAAAAATAAGTCTGCTAATAACGGAGCGCAATGTGCTGTCTGCTTGTAAAGCCAATAATCTTGAGTCATTAAAGAATTTTTGCCATAATGCCATGTTAACAGGATGAAATACTTGAACTTTTGAGTTTACTTGACATTTAACTAGTCTGGGTGGTAGGTATTAAAATTTGGTGTAATCGAGCATCTACAAGGTAATTGTATCATACACATGGAGAATCCATGCAAGATTGAGTTATTGTTAGGGCAATCTATTACTAGGTTATAACTGTTGTAAATTAACGTAGAACCTGCAGATTATTCTATGGCTGTTGGATTTAGTAAATTTTGTTGAAACCTGAAATTACACAATTCATTTACAGCATGTTAATCATTAGCAAACAAACTCATAATGCAAGATTTTTGAGTGACCGGCATGAGCGCTTTATTAAAATTGCAAAGATAGAGTTGGTGTTTGTGACATGTTGCCGTGTCATTCTTATCCAAAAGTAAATAGTATTGTTGATGTGATGTAATTGCTTAGGAGTTTGGTAGGTCTGATAGTTGTGTGGCATGATTGGACGTTTCATTGATAGGTACAGGCATGGATATTACTTGATAAAGTCGGAGGGGGAGTTTTTCATGAGATATGGGGAATTTTAGTGTTACGTATATTGTACAAAAATGCCTTCCGAATGCAAATTGACCATGTTTATAGTGATATTCTGGATCCTTGAATGTTAAATAAAAATTTGAATATTCGTCCGTAAGGATTTTGGAAATTTCTTTATTTGATTGTGTGATTATAGGTGTGGAAATAAGTACTGGTGAAAGTTTTCCTTCAATCAGATTGCTTACCGATTGTTTGAAAATGGAATATTGTTTTAACATTTTTTGAGAATCTTCCACATGTGAATTATACAGTTCCGAAAGTTTAAGAATTCCTTCTTGATAGTTCTGAATTTGTTCAGTAATGATTTTTGATAAGTTTGTGATAGCCAAAAAGTTTTGTTTTACATTTTCCTGGATGTTATCAAATCTATTATTTGTTGCAGTCATGAATGAAGAAAAGTGATGCTATTGCATTTTGATAAATTTAGTAACTTGGATGTTGTTTCTAATAAGGGAATTAACATGTTGTTTAAGGATGTTTACATCTTCCATAGTCGCTGTGCCAAACAAAGTTTTAGATAGGTCACCGACAAAAGGTAAGAGGGATTTCTTCTGTTTGTTTGAAACATGAATATATGGTACATTCTCATTAAGAAATTCATATGCATGATTAAATTCTGCTAATTTGCGAGTGTCTAAATCTTGTGCATGAACCTTGTAAAATTCATACAAGCTTTTGTCGGGAGTGTGATACAATCATAATTAAGATTCGATTTTGGAGGTAATTTTGGAAGAACAATCTCGTACGTTTGTCTCCAATATTCGTTTGTCAAAACTAGACTTTTTTCTCCTTTAAAAACAACACCATAATTAAGCCGTTGGACTGAGTTCGGAATAATCAAGGGGCGTGCACCTTGCATTTCCATTCCACGTACCTTTACGTGGAGACACCTGCTCCATATCATCACCATTATTATAATTGTGGGCCATCGAATTTCTACAAATAAACGAAAGAATAAAAAAAAAATATTAGTGGTGTTCGGTCAAAATGTGTTGATCAGGCACATATTGCACCACATTAATTTAGAAAATAGTCCAAAGTTAAAAAAAAATATTTTTGTGTACATTCAAAAGCGCACAACTTTAATGGAATTACGATAATTTATGGTTTTTTAAGCATGGAAGGAAATTTACGCTTCCTCCCTTGTTTCGTGTGTGTCATGAAGTACTCTCTAATAAGTTCTTGGCTTAAATATTGTTCTGGTTCCCAGGTTTTACTACCAACCTCCCACTTAACATAAAATTCCCTTTTACCTGCTCGTCTTTTTACCTTTATGAGTTTGTCAACAGGATAATACGTGTTACATGTATCTTGGACCTTGTCAATATCATTATCAATGGGGATATTTAAATTTTCCTGATCATTTTCAGCAATATTTTGATTGCCATCATTATTCTCCTCAAATAATCTGTCAATATCTTGTTCAGGATGCTGATTCCTGACATCAACACCTGGAATATAATCTTTTAATCTACTCGCGTTGACATAAGATTTCAACTCTTTGTGATTTGAACATCTTCGAAGTTTGTATGTAAAATTTGGTCCTAATTCAGATATGTAATATGGACCATCATATTTATCAATAAGCTTAGGCGATTTACCTATTGGAGTTTTAAATTGCTGTAAAAGAACCATTTGGTTTTATCGAAATGAGGGTTCTTTTGCTCGTTCGTCATATCTTTCTTTAGATTTCGCTTGTTTCTCCTCAATATTTTTATTTGCAATCTCGTGCGTGATTTTTAAATTCTCTAGAATGTCGCGAATATGTTCTTTAGCGTCAGCTTGTAGAGAGTCTTTGGGTGTTACCCGTAAATCAAAAGGCAGGTTCATTTCACGACCGAAAGCCAAATAATAGGGGGAGTGGTCTGTAGATTGAGTACATGGCGAATTTCATAATGCCATCAGAATACCAAGAATTAATTTTGGCCAATTGTTTTGCTCTTTATCAGAGTAAGTCCGAGTTGCTGGCATGATAGTTCGATTATTCCTCTCGCAAAAACTGTTTTACTGGGGATGATAAGCCGAAGTGAAATGGTTTTTTTACATTAAAAATTTAACAAAGGGATAAGATGAGGTTTTATGTAAATTGTTTCCCAAAATCAGACACAAGTTTAAGTGGTGCTCCGTATCTTGAAAAGATTTGTTCAAATAAATTTTTTGCAACCTGTTTGCTTTCTTGATTTTGCAGAGGAAAAGCTTTAACCCATCTTGTAAATGAATCTACAACAAGAAGCAAGTACTGATAACCCTCTGTTGTTTTGCTTGATTTTAAAAAAATTAATATGCCATCGCTCAAATGGACCATCAATTGGCATTGATGTTAAAGGTGGAGATCCATTGTGTTTGTGTTTTTTTTTTTATTCTTTGACACCTTTCACATGATTGAATGTAATCATAAATTTCCTGATGCATGCGTGGCCAGTGATACTTTTGCTTGAGAGCTGCCATGACCTTTTCTACCCCGAAATGAGCTCCTCCAGCTTTATTGTCATGATAAGCTGTGAGTGCCTCTAGACGAAGTGTTTTAGGTAAAGCTAATTTCTTTATCCAGCGATCGTTTTTTTTTTACCTTTCTCTTTCGTCTCTGGAACCAGTGATAGAGCACACCATTACAAATACTGTATGAGTCTGATTGTGCTATAACCTTTTTACGTTCCTTGCTAGTGTCGGGAAGAGTTTCCGACTCTAGATACATGTATATGCCCCTGAAGTCAGGGCATTCCTTTTGAAGATTTCCTATATCTTCGTGTTCTAAACTCAAGTTTGGTTCAATTTTGTCAGGTTCCACAATGGTGACCTGTGCACTACTACCATAGTGGAACTCGACCTCTATTGTCGTTCCATGTTCAAATGCTTCAATGACATGAGTTTCTGTGACCATTTCATTCTGTTCTTGATAAGGTCGCCTGCTGAGAGCATCGGCAACAACATTACTTTTTCCCTCTTTGTGAATTATCTTAAATTTGTACCCTTGCAGCTCAAGGGACCACCTGGCTAGTCTGCCTGTTGTGGATTTTTGCGACATCAAATATTGTAATGGTTTGTGGTCTGTGAAGACCAAGAATTCATTATTTGAAAGGTAAGTTTTATATTCCCTTATACCCTCAATCACAGCAAGACATTCAACATCTGATGCTGACCAATTTCTTTCTGGTTTTGATAGTAATCTACCCCCATAACCAATAACATGTTCCCTGTTACCCTTATCTTTTTTAGAAAGTATGTACCCCATTGCTGAATTAGATGCATCAGTGGTAAGAATGGAAGGTTTATTCATATTTGGATAAGCAAGAATGGGTACTTTTGTTAACTTTCTTTTTAAAGTTTCGAAAGAGATTTGACATGCTTCTGTCCTAATGAAATTTTCATCTTTTCTTAACAATTTGTTCAGAGGCTCTACCAATGTTGAAAAGCTTTTGATAAATTGTCTGTAATAATTGCACATTCCCAAAAATGATCTGATATCTTTTACTTTTTGTGGTATAGGGAAAGTGTCAATTATTTTTGTTTTATTTGGATCGACTTGAATGCCTTCTTTTGAAATAAGATGACCCAGGAATTTAACTTCATTAGCCGCAAAATTACATTTCTTTGGATTTAAAGTTAAACCTGCATTTCTCAAACGACTAAAAAGATCTTTAAGATGGCTTAAATGTGAATCAAAATCTTTTGAAAAGACACAAATGTCATCAACATAAACAAGCATGTTTTTCCAATGTAATCCCCTTAAGATTTGAGACATAGCCATTTGAAATGAAACACAACTGGGTACAGTCCACTAATTGTTTTCCCATAGGCGACAATGTTAACGTTTAGTCTCATAGCGATGTCCCTAATTTTCGTTCAGCAGTGAGTGACCCCTCAAATCAAAGCACATCAAGTTGTCTTTCTTTGGTTAAAATCTCGAGGTGGCATGTCAGATTCGTTTTCCGGCAAAATGCGTCTGTCTGCAGGAACCTCTGATAATGAAAGTGAAAGTAGGGGATTTCCAGGATTCTCAAAGGCGGTATAATACACAAAATAATCCAGCTTATCTTTTTGATAAATTACATTTGCTAAGCTATTTTGTTAGGAAAGATACTCCTTATCAAGAAGTATGAGGCTCAGTTTAGTACATTATCACATTTTTTTTTTTAGTCAAGTCTGAAAATTAAGGAATTTGCTATTTTTTCTGCACTACTTTCTTCTCCTACCGATTTTAAAAATAATTAGTGGGGTGTACCCAATATGGAAAAGCATTTTTTAAGTTTACACTATTTAATCAAATATCTCTTATCTCTACACAATATGCAATCTATATGCCAAGTTTCATCAAAATTGGTTCATATTTCAAGTTTCTACAGACTTTTGAAAACTTGTTGTAAGACAGCTCATGAATGAAAAAAATTGGTCATTTTCTACCTCTTCTTTTCCTTCAAATATTGACTATCAAAGAGGTACAGTGAACTTTTTTTTCACATCAATATCTTTCAATTAGTGAATTCAAAGGATTTAATGAACAATAATGTATACGCAATTGCGTATATTTGAATTACGCAATATTTTTGGTGTGATTCGACAACTTTTTTTAACCTCTTTTTATGTTACGCAAAGAACAACAAGAGAAATTTTGCTTCAAATACCCCGAAAGAAGGTAAACAAAATTTTAGAGCTTGTAACCTTTTAAAAAAGGTATTACAAATCAAAATCGGTCCAGTAATATTGAAAATATAACCAAATAAAAATGACATTATAAGTGAGCTTGTTGTGAGAAAATTGTACGCCAAAATGTCTATGATGTCATAGAGGACTGGCAGCCATTTTTATGACGTCATCATAACAAACAATTTCAAATGCATTTCATGAATTGGGTATAGGTGCACTGAGTCAAAGGTAAAATGAAAGGTGATAGAAAAAAACACAGGTTTGCGATAGGAAATACCATAAGAAAAGGGAGAGTGTCCAAGTCTGGAAAAGAAGCTAAGTGTTTTAAATCTGTTTGGTTACCTAGGTTAACAATTAATGAATTTGAAAATTTGACCAAAAAATCTTACGATGAACAGTCATATGTCATACCGGGGTCCGAAGAAAGTCAAAACAATGTTAAAATATTACGCCCCAATCCTCGCGACCTTGACCCCTTTCCTCATGTCACGACCCCTGACAGTACAGAAATGAGGATTGTGGATAGGGATATGACTGTGTATATGATGAATGACTTGAATGTTTCCCATTCTCAAACTGATTGTGTCACCCCCAACTATGAATTAATGTCTGAAGTAAAGCAGGGTCTAGGGTGGACTTGGACATTCAAGTGCAGAAACTGTCAATTTAAATCTAAAAATGTACAAACTTTTCCGAGAGGTCCCTTCTGAGGGCCCCGGTCGAAAAGCAGCAGCCATCAATAAGGCAATACAGACTGCTTTGTATCAAACTCCGGTAGGAAATGACCAAGCCCGATTGATCCTCGCGTGTACAGGTATCCCACCCCCAGCCCGGTCGTCAATGTTTAAATCGTGCAATAAAGTAGGTGAAAAAATTGTTGACCTTGCAGAGTGCGATATGGATGAGAGAATAAACCAATTAAAAGAACGAAATAAAATAATAGGCCTGCCTGAATCTCACCCTATCAATATACAAATGGATGCCTCGTACCAATCCCGAAGCATAACAAGCCGTCACAAAATGGGCCAAGGGGCCTCGCAAGTAATTGGCTTGGCATGCGAAGATGTCACAGACAAACATCAAGTTATTTCTTATCATATGACAAATAAATTGTGCTGGGTGGGAGCATGGCTTCAGGGTGAGGGTTTCCATGTCCAGTGCCCAAGTGGTCATTTCGGTTGTACAGCAAATAAAAATCCTGTCGAGCCTCTGACCGAAAAAGAGTTAGGCTATAAAATAGGTGAAAAATTAAGTAAAAAAAAATTGTTGGTACAAAACGTAACCACCGATGGTGATGCAACAAGTGCCGTGGGGCTCGAAAAAGCAATACAAGACTTCTTATCTCCCCTATGGAGAACAAGTCGACTCGCCGATAGAGTTCATAGGGGTCAAAGCCAATTTAGGCATGGTGTTAAAGCAAACTTTAGCGATGAAATGTTCCCCGCAAACACAAAAGTTCAAAAAGCAGAGCTACAAAAAATGTTGTCGAATGACATCAAAGAAAGATGCAGTGGTATATTAAAAGCTCTCTTCAAAAAGTACAATGGTGACCTAAAAAAAATGTCAAACTCCTTACCGAGAATTGCTGACAAGGTTCTGAAGTGTTACACAGGAAGTTGTAGTGACTCATGTAGGTGGAGCTTAACTCTTTGTGGGGGTGGCAAAAAAACGAGTTGGTGGTACAAGTCTGTCGGACTCCGAGCACATGGTTTAAAATCTGGTGCACTAAAATGTAGTACAAATGACAAGTTAATCCTTGAGTCACTGCTTGAAATGAAGTTGTCAGTTTGTGCATTAAACGAAATGAAATTAAATTCAACAACAAACAAGTGTGAGTCTGTAAACAGAACTATCTCTCTAAGCTTACCAAAAAATAAAACATACTCACGAAATGCGAAATCCCGTGCCTTGTCAGCCATATTAAGGTCGAACAATGGTGTAGATATGGCTGTCTGTAAAACACTGGCTGCTGTCGGTGCTCCTCTCGGAAAAAAATCCCAGTCACTCAGTGCACTGAAGAAAATGAAGAAAAAATCCGAGTACTATAAACAGCATAAAAAGTCAATAAACCAGAGAAAAAAGCGAGCCATGGCTCGCCATCGAATAGCAAAACAATTTGTTAAAAACAAAAAGAATGGTTCAATGAAGAATGATTACAAAAAGTTTCAACTTGAGCCAAAAGTGCCGCCATCACTGTGTACAAGGGTTAAGAAATTAGTGAATACCGATCCCGAGCAACCTGGTTGTAGTTACTGGTAATTAAAAAAAAAGTGTACCATGTATGAATTAAATAAAAATTAAAATGTGTACAAAATAAAAAAAAAGGTGTATGTGTAAATTTAAAGTGTGTTTAAAATAAAAAGGTGAGGAGTTGGTGGAGGAAGTGGAGGCACCCCCCCCCCCAAAAAAAAAAATCTTTAAAAAAAAAATTGCAAGAAAAAAAATTCATCAACATTTTGATGTTCTTAATTTGTTATTGCATACATACCAGTCAAATGAAGCTGAATCATGCAGTCAGGATAAGCAGAGTGATGTCTGCACAAACCTTCACCCAAGCAGTTAATACGTTGCATGTTAATAGCATGGGGTTCAAGCATGAGGTGGGAAGGATTAATGCACAGGGGATTGTGACATAAATGAGAGCATTCTAAAGAGTGGGGATGGATTTGCTTTAGTTTAAGTATAAGTGATAATTTAGCAGGTGTATAAGTGTGCCATTCACCATTTGGTAACTTAACTCTTATTTGACCATACAACTTACAACCTCTCTCATGCCATAACCGACACTCTCCATTCATAGAAACTGAGCTATTTTCAAATAATTTTTTGGAATATTTCCTAATAAAAGCATCCATCCTCATCTTACAATAACAGGAAGTGATATAAAATACAATACATACACGGTACGTTTCAGGAATTTCATTATATAAGCTTAAATTGAACAAACATGAATTTTTTGACACTTACTAATATGGGTACAGTCCACTAATTGTTTTCCCATAGGCGACAATGTTAACGTTTAGTCTCATAGCGATGTCCCTAATTTTCGTTCAGCAGTGAGTGACCCCTCAAATCAAAGCACATCAAGTTGTCTTTCTTTGGTTAAAATCACGAGGTGGCATGTCAGATTCGTTTTCCGGCAAAATGCGTCTGTCTGCAGGAACCTCTGAAAATGAAAGTGAAAGTAGGGGATTTCCAGGATTCTCAAAGGCGGTATAATGCACAAAATAATCCAGCTTATCTTCTTGATAAATTACATTTGCTAAGCTATTTTGTTAGGAAAGATACTCCTTATCAAGAAGTATGAGGCTCAGTTTAGTACATTATCACATTTTTTTTTAGTCAAGTCTGAAAATTAAGGAATTTGCTATTTTTTCTGCCCAACTGTTTTTCAGTCCCATACCAAGTCTTTTCCATTCATAAACCCCATTTTGAGTGATATACGCTGCTTTGTGTTTTGTTTCCGGATCCTTTTGTAATTGCTAAAACATAGAATGCAGATCAAAAGTAGAGAAAATTTGAGATTCTGCCTCTGCAATAGTGTCAAAGGCACATTCAAGTCTGGGTAAAGGAAGGGAGAAAGGTTTCGTAATTTTGTTTAGTTTGCGATAATGTACACAAAACCTATATTTTCCATCTTTTTTTTACCAAAACAACAGGGGAATGATATTCACTATTTGATTCTTCAACAATGTCATTTTCTAATAATTCTTGAACTTGTCGATCAATTTCATTTTGTAAATGAGGGGGTTGGCGATAAAAAGGCATGCGGATTGGTGGCGCGTCATAAGTTTCTATTTTGTGAGAGCATATCCCAACAGTTTTTCCCAATTCAGATAAATCAGTAGCAAAAACATCTCTGTAGTTCTTTTAAAACATGTGCAATTCCGATTTTTGAGTATCATTTAATTCAGAATTTGTCAAATCAAAGGTGATTGGAGATCTTTGTTTACTGTGCGGTTTTAACTCGACACTTGTTGCATTTATTTGAGTACTTTGCAGGGATTTAAATGGTATTATCTCATCATTGTGGACACAGTCTACTGTGACAACAATTGTATTATTACTGAGTGTTATTTCGTCCGCCGTAGGATTGCAAACTTTAAACATACCGCGTTGATTTTTAACACACGCTATCATTTTTGCAGCAAGTAACTCTTTAGTGGCAAGATTTTCACAGGGTTCTAAATACACATTTTGATGCTGTTGTAATTTAGAAATTTTGACTGGGATGATCATTTCATGCATGGGGGATCAACAATCTTTTTAGCAGTTTTTGCAAAATGACATTTTATTTCTATTGGAATAGAATTGTTTGAGTCAGCAATTTCAATTGTTTAAGATTTTTAACGCAGAGACACCATTCTCTATCCAGAGTTGTCTTCCGCTACGCTCACAACACCTCTGTCAACGCTCGTTGTACAAGATTCTTGTACAAATTTTAAATAGAGAAGATTCGAAATTTAATTGATAATTAATTATTGTAAATATTGATAAAGATGATAATTCATTATTTATTTTAAATCTATAATCACTCAAAACGACTTATTTTCAAAGATTTTAGGGAACTATTTTGCGGAGCAAAAATTAAAATCTTAATGAAAAAAAATATTTTAAGATGTAACAAATTAAAATAAATAATGTTTTCCAATAAGAAATATAATTACACACAATTATAAATACAACTTTTAACCAAAAACACTTTTTTCAAGAATCTTGTATGACAAGCGTTGACAGAGGTGTATGTGGGAGAGAAGCGGGAACGACAACTCTGTATAAGAGAATGGCAGAGACACATTATGCATTTCCATAAAATCGACACCAATGATAACTGTTTGATTCAAGCCTTTCACCACATGAACTGGGTTCCAAAAAATTTTGTGGTCAATTTCAAAGGGAAGAATGATTTTGCCAAGAATTGGAAGAGTATTATTGCTAACTCCTTTAATGACATCATAGTCTGGCTTTAAAAGTTTATGGTCTTTAAATTCTGTTGATTTAAAGAAAGAATGGCTGATGAGAGTGATTTAAGACCCCGTGTCTACCAATGACTTGGTTTTACGAAGCCCAATCCCAATGTCAATTGTACTCCGGGATTGTAAAGCCACCGTTAAACCCAAGGTTACAGATTTCTTATCTCTGTGCCCATCCTTGGAAAATCCAGGGATAGGCGCGCACCCCTATTGTGGGATGTTAGCTCGCATTGCAGATCTACACACACTCGCAAAATGATTCCACTTCTTTTGCACTTTAAACATTGTTTCCCATTTGCGCGGCATTCGCAGTACCATTAAGGCTTCCCGGAGCTGAAAATGTATTTATAACGTAACACTGCATTGCAAAGTTGATTTTGAGTTTTATTTGTAAGTTTCGTACTTCAGTACGCCAAATTCATATAGAGAATCCTCTAAGCTACTTATAAACATATTTGTTGCGATGTCACATGACCTTCTTGATCACGTGACGGTCATTTCTTCTTTTTGGAAATGTTCCTCATAAATCGCTTCGGCGCAGGCTGTTAACACAATTTTTATTGTCTTTTTGTCACATAAATAACTCAGTGCATCCTTGTGAAACCGATAAGTGCTTGGGAAATTTTAAACCTTTTCTTTGGAACAATTCATTTCATATTAACTTTAACTTACCGACAAATCTGAGGGTATTTTCCTCTGAATATCGTCATTTGTTTTAAAACAAAGTCATCATTCATTTTTCCCAAGCAGGATTCAGTTAGATGGGAAACTCCTCTTACATATTCCGCAAAAGATATTAGATAAATCCTCTTAAACAACCTGCGCCAGGCTCTTTTATACACATATTATGAATTCTGCTTCTGACCACGGGTGCAAAAAAAGGTAAATGTCAAACGCATATTTCCGTACGTAGTTTGAACACGCTGACTCTTATACAAGAGTAATGAAGGAAAGCTATCTTAATTATTCGGATATATTAGACTTTTGAAAAAATTATAAAATACACCTTTATTTTAAAATAGCATTCTGCAATTTTATATGCAGATTGAAATGAGGTGCAAAGTTAATGACACTCTCCCCATTATTACAGCTCAAGTATGCAGCGACTTGACGTCATTTTCAATTATGACGTCATACGTTTGTAGTTCACAGAAGTTCATGCGGAGAGTACACTACAATATTCTCTGGGAAGCCTTATCGTACCTGCGTTGCTGTCGTGACATACAGTTACCTCCACAACCTTGGCATTTTTGATTTTTCAGATTGTTTGCATAATTTTGAAAAGTATTGTGATTTTGTCCCGAATTTTTGAAATATCTTTTTTGTCCATTGAATCTATGATCAAAATTTTGAGCTGTTTGAAATGAATTTGGATAACGCCTAGGATGCGTAATGGCTGCTGCTGTTGCTTCTAACTGTGTGCTTAATTTTTTGATCAACCTGTCTTCTAACTCTTGAATGGAAACCAAAAATGACACATTTGCGGGTTCCGAATATTTGACAGTTTGCTCCGCCATCAATGCAATTTTTCGGAGTTTTTCTAGTGTGTCCGGGATTTGCGGAATGACTATTGTTCGAATAGATGGTTTCAACCCCTGAATAGCCATTCCCATTAGTAAATGCATGGGTATGTAACATTCAGTCGTTAAACGCGTCACTCGAGCCAAATAGTCTTCAATTGATTTTTCTAAATTTTGTTTTATATTTGATATGTGGATATCAAAATTCGTTTTTGACGTTTGAAAACGTTCAAGAAAGGCAGTTTTCAAACTACTCAGAGAGCATTTCATACTCTCTAGTAGCTGAAAATACCACCGAAAAAGTTAACAAGTTAACAAGTTGCAGAATTGTCATGGAAAGAAGGGGTACATTACATCCAAATTCTTTTAAAACATTACTGGTTCCCCCTTTTTTAGTTTTAAGTCGTGTTAGTGTGTGGGACAGTGGAGTGAGGACTTCGTTTGATTATCAAATCACATAAAAAATAGTTCATAGTATATTTCCTTAACTTTTTATCTGTAATTAAGAATAATTAAAAAATCAAACACAATTTATGTGCAGCAGTATTATGACAGTAAAAAAACCAGCCGGAGTTTAACTTTATTTTAAACTGTCTGGGTCGATATTGATTTTTTGGAGAGAGAGAGAGAGAGAGAGAGAGAGAGAGAGAGAGAGAATAGTAACTCGACACGGAAGATAGTGGGCACCTACAGTTGGCGAATAATCTCAATCTTATGAAAAGGAAAAATGTTAATGAAACCTGAATCAAATAAATAATGACTACAGGTATAAATTGATCAAATGGACAAAGAAATTTGCATCATAAAAAAAAACTTACACATTTTTATAAATCATATTCAAGTATCGGCAAACTAAAGATATATTTTTTTTCATGTAACGTGTGTGCATGGTGGATGGACTTTTGCATGTATGCTAGAGGGTTCGAAATAAATATTTGTGAGCACTGGTTCGACAAACTAATGACTTCCAATTTTTACTACTTCATAAAATATTTTACTAGACAGACAATTCCTCCTTCTACCTTATTATTATGTTAACATCATAACACCCCCTACACCTAACTACTTCAGTGAGATTAAATTTAATTTCAGCACATAAAATTAAATTAATTCCAATTCACCGAAAGCTACAGGGGAAAAATGGAAGGTATGAAACATGTAATATTTTTGTTAAAATTCAATCATGATTAAAAAATACTTTAAGATTAAGTTTAAAAACTAAATAGTGATATTACCTCCTTGATGTGAATAAACGGAGCACTTGTCATGTATTTATAAAGTGTCAATACTGTTTGTATTTCTAAGAGAGAAAGAAAGAGGGAGCGAGAGAAAAAAGAGAAATATTTGAGAGTGGTGCTACTGCTACTAGAAGTCTTACCGCTGACCTAGTAAATATAAATATTTTCAGTAAGATTACTATATTTGCTAGTATATATGAATTTTTACTACTAGTCTGATAATTATTTATATTAGTCTCGGACTTACATTGGGTACTTCTGCACCCTGCGTAATCATTCATTACAACTATTCATTTAGATATAATGTTTCAAGTGACAAAATTAACAAGGCATAGTACAAGTTTATATATTGAACACTGTACTGTTCAATAGCGGAACTCCCGTATAAGCAAATGAAACCGGAAATCTTAAACAGGGGTATATAATTATATGATTTGTACAGATGTCCGAGAACATTAGGAAACTGAATTACCTATCAGTAATTATTCAATATTTAGAAGATTACCTTTTTAACAAGAGACATCTTTCCTGTTTGTGAAAAGAAAATTGATACAACTTTTCGATCGTGAAACCGGGGGGGGGGGGACTCTACATTAAAGTCAGATATCAGTTCTGTCTAGAAAGAAATAAAAAAGATGAAAACTAACTCGATGATTACTTGATTTTAATTTTTTAATTGACCAGTGATAGATATTTTCAACACATAAATTTAAACTTGATTTTGTCATAGTTAATTTCAAATCATATTCTGAATTATATAACAGATATCAATAATATTAAAAAAATGATTACTGCCTGGGATTTTTTTCATCAAAAATTAAATAAGACTGTTTTTAAATGTAAAGTATAACACACAGTCATTTTCACACCACTGCAGCCTCATCATCATGACCCCCGGGGCAAGGGCGGAGCCAAAATGGCCGACCCAAGTTTTACATAGGAATATATAGAAAAAATCTTTAAAAAATCTTCTCCAGAACCACTGGGCCAGGAAAGATGAAACTCATGTGGAATCATCCTTAGGTAGTGTAGATTCAAGTTTATTCAAATCATGACCTCCGGGGCAAGGATGGGGCCAAAATGGCCGACCCAAGTTTTACATAGGAATATATAGGAAAAATCTTTTAAAATCTTCTTCTCCAGAAGTACTTCAAAGCTATGATTAGTGATACCCGGGGTATTTATATGGAATCATCCTCAGGTAGAGTAGATTCTAGTTTGTTCAAATGATGAAGGCCTGGAAGGGGGGGGGGGGTAAATTCAAGCCTGATGTGCTCAGGTGAGCGCTGTGGCCCCTGGGCCTCTTGTTCAGACTCCTTACAGAATGTCATGACATACCTTCAGAGATATTTAACTAAAAACAATGGATATACACAATACAATTATCAATCTATATCAATCAATAGAGATTCAAAGTGCAAAGTTAACAACATGTTGGTCCTGCATCTGTGTCTTTGTAAAAAAATCTTGAAACTACGGAATAATCTAAAAAAAAAATAGCTCTTGCAATGAATAATATTTGATTATGTATGATTTGGATGATTACCATATACTCTCCAATACTCAATTTTTTTCTATATTATGACATAAAAATTTTTTTCCATTCGGATATATTTTATTACCGTATATACTCATGTTTACGTCCGTTGTGTTCTTTTGGTTTTCAACTAAATTTTAAGCTAAAAAAATCGACTGATCAGCGAGTATAAACAGTAGGCTTAATTAACTTTTTTTTACATACCTTCGTTTATATTTCGTCATACTTTGTATAACATACTTTCAATAGTAGATATACGAGGGTTGATCCAAAAGTTCGTGGAATTTCTTTCTAAAATTTTATCGCGATTTGATGAAAGCAAACCACAGGCATATTTATAATATAGAGTCATAATGCAACAATATCGGAAAATTTTACTACTTTCCCATTTTCAATGAGGTCACACGAGCTGTCTAAAAATGGATAGTTGTGAAACCCGGGGGAGACATCGACGTAACGTCAAGTTAGATATGTCACGTCACGTTATATAGATGCAACTCGCCCTAATGTCCAATTTGAATTCGTAACTCTACAAAAAGCTGTCTTTTCTTTATTTTTTTTCTCTCAAAAAAGCCTGGTTATCCTCTTGCACCAACTTTTTTTCATTTTTCACTCATATTTCAATTTACAACCCATCTTTCCATATGATGTTCCAATGATGATCCAATTTCAGTATATCTATGTGAAGAACTGTAATGCAGCCTACAACGCCCATTAATGCTTTGAATTATTTAAAGGGGTTCTGCACCTAAAACAGTCTCCAAAAAGTCACCACACCTTTAATCAACGTCCATGGCAGTTTTATTTTCTTATATTTCTCATGCCACCGAAAAACAAATACAGACTAAATGCATTTTCCTCAAGTCTTTGTCTATTATATACACGTTTAAGGTAGAGTGATCCCGTATTTTTTGAATATGAACAATAAATAATCAATTAATAAACTAAATATACAGTAAAATCAGTAAAACTTTCACACAAAAGTTTATAAAAGACCAAGCAATCGTAATAATGACAAAATTTTCGTTTTCTATACCACACAGGCCGGTTTCAGTCTCATTTCACGTATTAAGAATTAAAATGAAAATGAATGTGTAAATGTCTCCCCCGCATTACCAAACAACCGTTTCTATGGCAACTGTCATAGAGTTACTATTAAAGATATTTAAACTGTTTTTTAAATTTATAATATTCATGAATTGTCTATATTTTCATTTGTAACTTTCAACCTATTCAATCTAATAATGAATAAAATATGAAAAAAATCCACGAACTTTTGGATCAACCCTCGTATATTGCAATTAACAAGGCAACAATATGATTGAAGACTATATTGAAATGAAATGAACAATTTTATTTGAAAATTGTAAATATTTACAAACATTGTTGATTTTTTATTTAACAATATCCCATTTTTTGATTTTTACACTTTTTTATTTTAAAATGACATATCTTTTACAGAAAATACCCTGGTAAAAGAAATTCTCGACTATTGGCGAGAAGACGATATTGCATTCATTCCAACAAGAGCAAGTGAAGTGGTTCAAGAAAAGCTTAAAAGTCTAAAGTTTATCACAGTGGTTGGAAATTCTGGGTCCGGAAAATCTGCAATAATTCAGCATATTGCACTAATTCTAAAGGAGCAGGGATGGAATGTGATACCGGTAGATAAGGTGGAAGAAATAAAAAAGAAATGTTCCTCTGGAGTCTCTGAAAATCGCATATTATTTGTATTTAATGATCCTTTAGGTAAGGAATCGTTAGATGAAATTTTATATCATTCATGGAAAAGTTTAGAGAAAACGCTGGAGATTTGTTTAAAGAAAAATAAACTATTGATATCATGTAGAAGATGTGTCTTTTATGACAAAAGAGTCAAGGGTAACTTATTGGACGAATCTACTGCAGTAGAAATTGACAGCGAAGAACATGGACTGACTGTTAAAGAGAAAAGGGCGATTTTAAATCAGTATTCACAGAATCTGCATTTATCCGAAGATGTTGTCACTGAAATAATTAAAACAGAAGTTTACTTCCCATTGCTCTGTAAGCTTTTTTCAAGGGAGACAAACTACAACGAAAGTGGGGCTGATTTCTTTAAAAATCCGTACAAATGTATTAAAAAGGAAATTGAAATTTGGAAGAAAACAGATAAGAAAAGATTTTTCTCACTTATCTTGATAGTAGTTTTTAAAAACAATTTGAAAATCGATACTTTTGCAAAAAATAATAATTCTTTGATGAAATTTAAGGACATTTTAGGAATGTGCGAGCTACAAGAAAACACACACATTTCGGTCATTCGTAGTACTCTTCATGAACTGAAAGGATCGTATGTCAAACGTGTCGGAAATGCTTTCCAATTCCTGCACGACTTTATTATGGAGATAACGACTCTGGTGTTTGGTGTTGATTGTCCACAAGAGACAATACAGTACGCAGACAGTGGTTTTCTGAGACGTCGAGTGAAGATAGAAGACGATACAGAAGAGGAAGATCACGATCCCTTCACTGTTTACCTTCCTGAAGAGTACATTGAAGATCTTGTGGACAGGTTTATCACTGATATCCAAACAGAACACATTGTAGATGTTTTACTCAATCCATGTTTAAGAAAAGAGAGCGTGATCAATTCTTTTAAGGAAAAAGTGGATTCATTCGAAAAACTTCTCGTAAAAATTAAATGTGAAAAAGACAGATCGGAATTTCAAGAATCATCTAACAGATCTTTTTTTACAAGGCTTGATTTCCTTTATACATTTGAAAGTGAAATATGTCCTTTAGTTGGACTTATTGTATTTTGTCATTCTGACATTTCTTCATTTTTTATCAAAAATATCCCTGAAACAAAGTTGAAAGAACATCCTATATTTACTGCTATCTGTGCGAATGGCGATTTAAACCTATTTAATTCACTCAGCGAAGAATATAAAAAAACAGCAATGATGGAAATATGGGATGACTCTTTACCAATTCATGTTGCGTCGGTTTTTCATAATTGTTCAATACTTGAAGAATTAGTAAGACTTGGTGCTGACGTAAACAAGTTAACAACTGGTGACATTTGGACCCCGTTATTACTTGCTGCTGCAAATGATGAAGATCATTTTAAAGAGGCCGGGATCGACAAAAAATATGTAGAAAAACGTAATAATACAACTATTTGTTTATTGAACAACAGTGTTGAAATCAGTGTATGTGATATTGAGAAAGGGGAAAGTTCACCTTGTACAGCTTGTTATAGAGGACGTGATAGCACGGTACAACTGTTACTGAACAACGGTGCTGACATCAATTTATGTGATGATGATGGAGCCAGTCCTCTAAATTTAGCTTGTCAAAATGAACATTATAGCACGGTACAACTATTAATTAACAGAGGTGCCAACATCAATTTATGTGAAAATGATGGGACCAGTCCTCTTTGGGTAGCTTGTCGAAATGGACATGATAGCACAATACAGCTATTACTAACCAACGGTGCCGACATCAATTTATGTAAGAAGAATGGAGCCAGTCCTCTTTATATAGCTTGTCTAAATGGACATGACAGCACAGAACAACTGTTACTGAAAAACGGTGCCGACATCAATTTATGTAACAAGAATGGAGCCAGTCCTCTTTATATAGCTTGTCAAAATGGACATGAAAGCACGGTACAACTGTTACTGAATAATGGCGCTGACATCAATTTATGTAATAGTGATGAATGCAGTCCTCTTTATATAGCTTGTCAAAATGGACATGATAGCACGGTACAACTGTTACTGAACAACGGTGCCGAAATCAATTTATGTAAAAGTGATCAATGCAGTCCTCTTTATATTGCTTGTCAAAATGGACATGATAGCACGGTACAACTGTTACTGAACAACAATGCCGACACCAATTCGTGTGATAATGATGGATTCAGTCCTCTTTATATAGCTTGTAAAAATGGACATGATAGCACGGTCCAACTGTTATTAAACAAGTTTGCAGACATTAATTTATTCGCAAAAAATGGAGCTAGTCCTCTTTATATAGCTTGTTATAATGTACATGATAGCACGGTGCAATTGATGCTGGAAAATGGTGCTGACATCAATTTATGTGATAATGATGGAAACAGTCCTCTTCATATAGCTTGTCAAAATAGATCTGATAGCACGGTACAACTGTTACTGGACAACGGTGCCGACATCAATTTATGTTATGATGATCACATGAGTCCCCTTTATGTAGCTTGTCAAAATGGATACGATAGCACTGTACAATTATTACTGAACAATGGTGCCGATATCAATTTATGTGACGAAGATGGATTCGGTCCTCTTTATATAGCTTGTCAAAATGGGTATGATAGCACGGTACAACTATTACTGAACAACGGTGCCGACATTAATTTATGTGACAAAGATGGAACCAGTCCTCTTTATTTAGCTTGTCAAAACGGACATGATAGCACGGTACAACTCTTACTGAACAACGGTGCCGACATCAATTTATGTGACGAAGATGGAGACAGTCCTCTTTCTATTGCGTGTCAAAATAGACATGAAAGCACAGTACAACTGTTGCTGAGCAACGGTGCCGACATCAATTTATGTGACGTAGATGGAGTCAGTCCTCTTTCTATTGCGTGTCAAAATGGACATGAAAGCACGGTACAACTGTTACTGAACAACGGTGCCGACATAAATTCATGTGATAATGATGGAGACAGTCCTCTTAATTTAGCTCGTCAAAATGGACATGATAGCATTGTACAACTCTTAATTAACAACGGTGCCGAAATCAATTTAAGTGAAAATGAGGGAACCAGTCTTCTTTGGGTATATTGTAAAAATGGACATGATAGCACGGTGCATCTTTTACTAACCAACGGGGCCAATATCAATTTATGTACTAAGAATGGAGCCAGTCCTCTTTATATAGCTTGTCTAAATGGACATGATAGTACGGTACAACTATTACTGAACAACGGTGCCGACATTAATTTATGTGACGAAGATGGAGCCACTCCCCTTTATATAGCTTCTCAAAATGGACATGATAAAATTGTACAACTGTTATTGAACAACGGTGCTGATATCAATTTATATAAGAAGAATGGGGCCAGACCTCTTGATATAGCTTGTCAAAATGGACATGGTAGCACTGTACAATTATTACTGAACAACGGTGCCGACATCAATTTATGTGACGAAAATGGAGACAGTCCTCTTTCTATTGCGTGTCAAAATGGACATGAAAGCACTTTACAACTGTTACTGAACAACGTTGCCGACTTCAAATCATGTGATAATGATATAGACATTCCTCTTAATTTAGTTCGTCAAAATGGACATGATAGCATTGTACAACTATTAATTAACAACGGTGCCGAAATAAATTTAAATGAAAATGAGGGGACCAGTCCTCTTTGGGTATTTTGTAAAAATGGACATGATAGCATGGTACAGCTATTACTTACCAGCGGGGCCGACATCAATTTATGTACTGAAAATGGAGCCAGTCCTCTTTATCTAGCTTGTCTAAATGGACATGATAGTAGGGTACAACTATTACTGAACAACGGTGCCAACATTAATTTATGTGACGAAGATGGAGCTACTCCACTTTATATAGCTTCTCAAAATGGACATGATAGAATTGTACAACTATTATTGAACAATGGTGCTGATACCAATTTATATAAGAAGAATGGAGCCAGCCCCCTTTATATAGCTTGTCAAAATGGGCATGATAGCACAGTACAACTGTTGCTGAACAACGGTGCTGACATCCACTTATATGAGAAACATGGAGACAGTCCTCTTAATATAGCTTGTCAAAGAGGACATGATAGCGTGGTACAACTGTTACTGCATAACGGGGCCGACATCAATTTATGTAACAAAAATGGAGCCAGTCCTCTTTTATTAGCTTGTTATCATGGACAAGATAGCACGGTACAACTGTTACTGAACAATGGTGCCGACATCAATTTATGTGATAATAATGGATTTAGTCCTCTTCATTTAGCTTGTCAAAATGGACATGATAGCACGGTACAACTGTTACTGAACAATGGTGCCAACATCAATTTATATGAGAAGCATTGCCCCAATCCTCTTTATATAGCTTGTCTTAATGGACATGAAAGCACAGTACAACTGTTACTGAACAACGGTGCCTACATCAATTTATGTAAGAATAATGGAGCCAGTCCTCTTTATACAGCTTGTCAAAATGGACATGATAGCACGGTACAACTACTATTGAACAACGGTTCCGACATCAATTTCTGTAATAACAAAGTAGCCTGTCCTCTTTATATAGCTTGTCACAATGGACATGATAGCACGGTACAACTGTTACTGAACAATGGTGCCGACTTCAATTTATGTTATGGTGATAGATTCAGTCCTCTCTATGTAGCTTGTCAAAATGGACATGATAGTACGGTACAACTGTTACTGAACAACGGAGCAGACATCAATTTATGTGAGAAGAACGGAGCCAGTCCTCTTTATTTAGCTTGTCAAAATGGACATGATAGCACGGTACAACTGTTACTGAACAACGGTGCCGACATCAATTTATGTGAGAAGAATGGAGCCAGTCCTCTTTATATAGCTTGTCAAAATGGACATGAAAGCACGGTACAACTATTACTGAACAATGGTGCCAAAATTAATTTATGTGATTACGATGGATTCAATCCTCTTTATTTAGCTTGTCAAAATGGACATGAAAGCACGGTACAACTATTACTGAACAACGGTTCCGACATCAATTTATGTGAGAAGCATCGTCCCAGTCCCCTTTATATAGCTTGTCTTAATGGACATGAAAGGACAGTACAACTGTTACTTAACAATGGTGCAGACATCAATCTATCTGAAAAAGATATAGTCAGCCCTCTTTACATAGCTTGTCAAAATGGACATGATAGCACGGTACAACTGTTATTAAACAACGGTGCCGACATAAATTTATGTGAGAAGAATGGAGCCAGTCCTCTTTATATAGCTTGTCAAAATGGACAAGATAACACGGTACAACTGTTACTAAAAAACGGTGCCGACATCAATTTATGTAAGAAGAATGGAGCCAGTCCTCTTTATATAGCTTGTCAAAATGGACATGATACCACGGTACAACTGTTGCTGAACAACGGCACCGATATCAATTTATGTGCTAAATGTGGATTCAGTACTCTTTCGATAGCTTGTCAACATGGACATGATAGAATGGTGCAACTTTTAATGAACAACCGCGCAAACATCAATTTGTGTGATAACGATGGATTCAGTCTTCTATATAAAGCTTGTCAAATTGGACATGATAGCACGGTACAACTGTTTCTAAACAACGGTACCGACACCAATTTGTGTGAGAAGAACGGAGCCAGTCCTCTTTATTTAGCTTGTCAAAATGGACATGATAGCACGGTACAACTGTTACTAAACAATGGTGCCGACATCAATTTATGTGAGAAGAATGAAGCCAGTCCTCTTTATATAGCTTGTCTTAATGGACATGAAAGCACGGTACAACAGCTACTGAACAACGGTGCCGACATCAATTTATGTGAGAAGAATGGAGCCAGTCCTCTCCATCAAGCTTGTCAAAAAGGACATGATAGCAGGGTACAACTGTTATTGAACAACGGTGCCGACATCAATTTATGTGAGAAGAATGGAGCCAGTCCTCTTTATATAGCTTGTCAAAATGGACATGAAAGCACTGTACCACTTTTATTGAAGAACGGTGCCGACATTAATTTAAGTGATTACGATGGATTCAGTCCTCTTTATTTAGCTTGTCAAAATGGACATGATAGCACGGTACAACTATTACTGAACAACGGTTCCGACATCAATTTATGTGAGAAGCATCGCCCCAGTCCCATTTATATAGCGTGTCTTAATGGACATAAAAGCACAGTACAACTGTTACTGAACAACGGTGCAAACGTCAATATATCTGGTAAGAATGTAGCCAATCCTCTGTATATAGCATGTCAAAATGGACAAGATAGCATGGTACAACTGTTACTGAACAACGGCGCCGACATCAATTTATGTAAGAAGAATGGAACCAATCCTCTTTATATAGCTTGTCAAAATGGAAATGATAACACGGTACAACTGTTACTGAACAACGGCGCCGATATCAATTTATGTGATAATGGTGGATTCAGTCCTCTTTGGATAGCTTGTCAAAATGGACATGATAAAATGGTGCAGCTATTATTGAACAACCGTGCCAGCATCAATTTGTGTGATAACAATGAATTTAATCTTTTATATAAAGCTTGTGAAAATGGACATGATAGCACGATACAACTGTTTCTAAACAACGGTGCCGACATCAATTTGTGTGAGAAGAATGGAGCCAGTCCTCTTTATATTGCTTGTGAAAATGGACATGAAAGCACAGTACAACTGTTACTGAACAATGGTGCCAACATTAATTTATGTGATTACGATGGATTCAGTCCTCTTTATTTAGCTTGTCAAAATGGACATGATAGCACGGTACAAATGTTACTGAACAATGGTTCCGACATCAACTTATGTCAGAAGCATCGTCCCAGTCCCCTTTATATAGCTTGTCTTAATGGACATGAAAGGACGGTACAACTGTTACTGAACAACGGTGCAAACGTCAATCTATCTGATAAGAATGTAGCCAGCCCTCTTTATATAGCATGTCAAAATGGAAAAGATAGCACGGTACAACTGTTACTGAACAACGGTGCCGACATCAATTTATGTAACAAGAATGGAGCCAGTCCTCTTTATATAGCTTGTCATAATGGACATGATAACACGGTACAACTGTTACTGAACAACGGCGCCGATATCAATTCATGTGATAATGGTGAATTCAGTCCTCTTTTGATAGCTTGTCAAAATGGACATGATAGAATAGTGCAACTGTTACTGAACAACCGTGCCAACATCAATTTGTGTGATAACGATGGATTCAGTCTTCTATTTAAAGCTTGTCAAAATGGACATAATAGCACGATACAACTGTTTCTAAACAACGGTGCCGACATAAATTTATGTAAAAAGAATGGAGCCAGTCCTCTTTTTATAGCTTGTCAAAATGGACATAATAGCACGGTACAACTCTTACTGAAGAACGGTGCCGACATTAATTTATGTAAGAGGAATGGAGCCAGTCCTTTTTTTATAGCTTGTCAAAATGGACATGCTAGCACGGTACAACTCTTACTGAAGAACGGTGCCGACATTAATTTATGTAAGAGGAATGGAGCCAGTCCTCTTTTTATAGCTTGTCAAAATGGACATGCTAGCACGGTACAACTCTTACTGAAGAACGGTGCCGACATTAATTTATGTAAGAGGAATGGAGCCAGTCCTCTTTATATAGCTTGTCAAAATGGACATGGTAGCACGGTACATTTGTTAGTGAACAACAGTGCTGACATCAATTAATTGTACAGAAAATATATTAATAAAACAGTGAAGAAGACATTAAATTCAAGTTATTTTCCCAAAGAATATCTGTAAATAATATCTTATTTAATTAGACATATAAACATATTTTGTCCAGAAAATATTACTTGATCTGTCTCTCACTGCATAAAAACTACTTCACGTTGTAAGAAATGTCGTCATATTGACAAGTGTATTGCGATCGGTGACCTGTAAATAACTTATTATGTGGGATTTAACAAACAAAATGCTGTAGTAAGTTTATATATAGTTTGATGATTTCTAACTTGTCAAATTAGCAGATAAACTCATTTTGTGGTCTTTCAAAGAAATGTTGTATAACGTATATTGTGTATGTTGTCATAGTCAAGTTTTCCCGTACAAATTAGGCTCCGCCTCCTTTTGGTGACCTTAACTGTGCTGCGTGCGCATATTGTTATTTGTGTATTTAATCAGTAGATACTGTAGTTTGATCCTTAAATATATAACATAAACAGAACTTATGCAAAACTTAAACAAAACTTATACAATTAAGGGGGGGGAGCGACTATGATTTTATTGCGTGAAAACTACAATAGCGAATCTCTTCATTTTTATATTATATATAACTTACATTAACTTTAGTGTACATGCTGAGTTTGGGCGAAATATACCGTACAAGTATTTCTATGGGACCATCTCAAAATATAGGTATACATGTATTTACATACATTTACTATCCGATTATATTGGAAATTGCCAATTCTTAGCACTTTAAAGCAAATTATACAAATATTACAATAGCGTTTTTTTCAAACTATAATATATGATGAGTAATACTTTCTTGTACATTATGTGTAAGAAATACTAAATTCTACCGACTTGTTCCCAGAGGGGACATCTAAAAAAGCCAAAAATTAACGAATTTTTGTTATTATAGAGATCTACAAAATATAACGGATACATTGGATCTATACAAAAAATAATAAAATATGATGGAGCGATTATCAAATTCCTATGTAGTAAATTTCAACAGCGTATGTTGATTACTTTTTATTTGATAACATTTTTAAGGTCTTCCGTTTTCAACGGAAGACCTTCTACTGATTCTGAAGATTACGATTATTCTTATTATTCTTTATTTTTTTTTTTTTGCTTCCTAGACGCCAACTTTGAGGCCTCGTATCTCACTCATTTTTCAATGGATTATGTTCAAATTTTTAGACATTATAGACGGTAATAAAATCTATCAGAATGCTGTCGATAATTTCAAAAAGTCACTTCCGGTTTTAAGTTATTTCCCTTTAAACGAAAAATTATAGGCTTTCATTTCCAGACAAAGGCTCAGAGACCACTATAGATGGAGCAGAAATTTTACTGGTTTTAGATAACAGAAGGATTGAAGTTGTGCACATCGGTTTTTGTTTTTCGATTTCTCCATTCAAAATGGCGCTATACAAGGGTAAAAAAATAGAACGCCTAAAAAAGCGAAAATTTAAACATGTTTTCCTTTTTACCTTGAAAACTAAAAATATTTTGCTAAAACATGTTTAACAAAAGTTGTGCATAATTGCAAGAGCTTTCATTTAATTCTATTCAAAAGGGGCTGGCCCCTATGATTAGGAATTTAGGGAGCTTAAAAGTTTTTGCTTCATATCTTAAAAACGATAAATACTTTTATCTGGATTATACGTACAAAATTGTTCTTTGACACCTTTTTAAACTGATGAAAATGTTTTGTGTCCGATTATACAGGGGGTATTACGTAATACGTAGTTGAAAGCAGGCCAGGTAACGGGTAGCGTTTTTCATTCGGAAAGGAAATCAGACCTCCTTATGTGTATAAGTTACACAAATTTCCTATCAGTAATAAATCCTATGGTATTTAATGTTAATTTTCTTCTAAATAGGGCTTTATACGTGCTTTACGGTTCACTATTAAATTATTCATAACGATTAGTCTTTCTTTTTTATTTATTATTAATTAGTTTTACAGTGAACACGTCTTCATAAACAGAATATATTAAATCTATCTTTCTACATTGATTATTATAACAATTTTAGGTTATTTAACTTTATGCATCGAATAATTCATGATCATTAGTTGTATACATTTGGCGATCTCCAAGATCGCCTAGATGTTTGTAACAGTTATGTAATCCAACGCACAAATCCCACGCTGTCTATCTAGGTCACTAGTGTACCAGCCACCTGTCATAAACAATGCAAGTGTCTGTGATCGTGTTTAAAATCCATTGTGTACAAAGACCTATCAATTTATAGAAAATCATGTTTTTAATTTATCGAATCAATAATAATACTTCACCGATCTCTTATTTAATCGTAATTCGAAACACTGGTGCATAAATCATCTTGAATTGTGATCGCTTTCTTTGGCGTGTTCACGCAAAATTATTTCTTTATTCCGTGTTAATGTATTTTATTTAAATTGTAATTGAAAAGGAGCTTCGGCAAATAATTATAATTAGTGATGGAAGTTTTGTGATACGTAATGTACTATTATGTACGTTTTATTTTTACCATCACTCTTTTTCTCCATTATTTTTATAATGACAATTCACAAAAAAGGAAAACCAAAAAAGAATTCTGTATAGATGTAAAACACAACTCATTAATCTGTTTTTGAACGACCCCATACGTTTCTTTCTTTCTCCCATGCATTTCGACTATATAGAAAAAAGATCACTAGAACCGTTGGTTATATCAAAAGAAAGGTGTTCACGGCATCAATAAAAGAATTATTTAAATATTTCAAAAAACTAATTTCATTCGAAGAAAAGCCAACCAGCTGTATACAGACATTCCAAAATAATGTTTCAGTTTGTTAAATTCCTCTCATCACTATAATCATCCCATCCCTTAAAATGAATACAATGTCTTCCTTTAAAGCAGAGAATGTCACTCGGTTGATTTGTTTCTGTACATGCATGTATACATGTAGTTTAAAAGTTGAATTCCGAGACTGAAAGTTACGACCTATTTTTATGTAAACCTTTCTTTCGACCTTGACCTAACTCTTTTTATCTTAATTTTAACTCTAACGAGAGTTAATTATTGCTTAGCACAAGGTCATTTGAAAAGATCAAGGTCACACATACAAGTATTCCTTTACAGTCTTTTTCTTAGCGAAACATTGTAAGTTGCTTCTCTTACAAGGTTTTTTACTTGTATATCTCTAATATGTGGCTTTTGACCTCGACTCAAGGTTACGTCTTCTAGTTCGTAGCTCCAACGGAAGACCTTTTCGTTGCTTTGCAACGAGCTCGGCTCTAGTTGTTTTCCTTTTCTTTAAGCGCTTCAGTTTATCATAATGTCAAAAGCTCACTATAACGTGAAAACTCGTTAAAAATTCAGTTATATGAAATTGTAACTACATTTTTAAGCCTGTAATTTCTCTCTTTTTTTTTGTCAAGTTTTATTAATCAAGTGAAAAAAGTTGCCTCAAAACAGTAAATACGCTTGATTTTACCAGATGCGCGAGATATTGCGCAATGAAAACTAGAGTCTGTCCCCTTAAGATTAGATTTTAAGTTTATTAGAGTGCAATGATGTTTTAAATAAACGTAACCCGAAATAAGAAGATTAAAATAATTTCCGAAAAATATGTTAATTATTTTCGTATGAAAAGCTATATTATCATGTAAGTTGCTCGATAATACAGAATTTGAAAAAAAATATTACGCTCAATCCGTGTCAAGCACCATTAAGAACATATATATATTCTAGTTTGTTTAAATGATGACCCCAGGAGTAGGGCTGGGACACAATAGAGGATCAAGGTTTTACATAGACATTTATAGGAAATTATTTATTTATTTCTTCTCAAGAACAACAAAGCTTTGATTTGTCGTATTGATATTATCTTTGCAATAGCGAAGATGTACATGTATGGAAGATTAGATTTGTTTGAATCATGACCCCAGAGGATAGTAAAGAGCACAACATGGATGAAATGTTTAAGGAAAAAACAAAACAGGAGAAAAAGGTGAAAAACCTTTTTTTCTCAAGGAAAGCAAAGTCATGATTACTAAATATTAAGTAAGTTTAAATTTAAATTTTACCCCACGTGGTCCAGGGTACTTGTTAAATGAAGTAATAGTAAACAAGAGGCCCAGGGGTCACATCGCTCACCTGAGCAAATATCAGATCAGAACTGAAAGTGAACAGGCTGGGGAGGGGGCTTGAATTTTAACTCCCCAGGGGGTCATGATTTGAACAAACTAGAATCTACACTACCTGAGGATGATTGCCTATAAATATCGCTAAGCATGGCTTTGAAATACTTGAAAAGAAAATTTTAAATGTTTCCCTATATATTCCTATGTAAAACTTTTATCCACCATTTTGCCCAACCCTACACCTGGGGGTCATGTTTTGAACAAACTTGAATCTACACTACTTGAGGGTGACAACAACAATGACAGACAACAGACAAACTTTGATCAGAAAAGCTCACTTGAGCTTCTGGCTAAGGTGAGCTTAACAAGAGGCCCAGGGGCCACATCGCTCACATGAGCAATTGGCTAGGGAAAAGCACACATCAGATCAGAACTAAAAGTTGACTGAGGGGGGCTTGAATTTTAATCCCCCAGGGGGTCATGATTTGAACAAAGCTTGAATCCACACTACCTGTGATTTCCTACAAATATCACTAAGTATGGCTTTAAAGTACTAGAAAAGAAGATTTTAAAAGATTCCCTAGAAATTCCTATGAAAAACTTTTACCGGCCATTTGGCCCCACCCGACCCCCGGGGATCATGATTTGAACAAATTTTAATCTACACTACCTGGGGATGATTCCATAGGAGTTTCATCTTTCCTGTCTCTATGCTTCTTGAGAAGAAGATTTTTCCTATATATTCCTATGTAAAACTTTGATCGGCCATTTTGGCCCCAATCTAACCCTGGGGGTCATGATTTGAACGAAGATGAATCTACACTACCTGAGGATGATTCAAAATGAGTTTCATCATTCCTGGACCAGTGGTTCTTGAGAAGA